AGCGCGGCCGCCCTTTGCCCCCGAGTCTAGCCTGGCCCCCGCGGCCGCTGGTCTCAAATCGGCCAAGTACGACTACGCGGGTGTGGGCCGCGCCGCGCCGGGCTCGGCGGCCCTGCTTGAGGGGACCCCCTGCGCCGCCGGCTTCAAGGACGACGCCAAGGGCCCGCTCAACTTGAACATGACAGTGCAGGCAGCGGGCGTCGCATCTTGCCTGCGACCTTCGCTGCCCGACGGTAAACATTGGCCGTGCTCCCCGGGCCAGCAGGGGCCGGAATGGGAGGTGGGGTGCAGGGGAGAGTGTGTAGGGGGAGGGAGCCTCCGGGGGCGGGCAGGCTATAGGGAGCAGGCTGGGCTGACTAGGGTTCGGGCTGTGTTGCAGGCCTGCCGTGGGGGGCGGCCCCTGGGAGGGCCCGCAAGAAGCGGAAACCCTACACCAAGCAGCAGATTGCAGAGCTGGAGAACGAATTCCTCCTGAACGAATTCATCAACCGGCAGAAGCGCAAGGAATTGTCCAACAGGCTGAACCTCAGCGACCAGCAGGTCAAAATCTGGTTCCAGAATCGTCGTATGAAGAAGAAGCGCGTGGTGCTGCGCGAGCAGGCGCTGGCGCTGTACTAGCCCGGGGCCTGGCCGTGGCCGGGCCTTCCTTTTTGAGCCGGAGCCTGGCGTGGAGGACGAGCGGAGATGGGGGCTTTTCCTGCTGCTCCTTCTCAGCTGGTCCTAGGTACCCTCTGGCTCGTCTGCAGCCCTCAAAGCCAGCAGGAGATTTGGAGATCTGGTCAGATTTGGAGACCTCCAGGCTTTCCCCTTTCCGGAGGGGCTGTGGAAGTTGCGGCACAACCTTGGCCTTGAGGCTTCCCCAGTGGGGGCCTAGGCGCACCTGTCTTAGCATTTAAACCTGGGCTCACCCCAGCTCCCTTTTACTTGGATTTCTGCTTTCACATAGTCTTCTTCCCCCCTCTCCCCCCCCCAATTCCTTCTACATTTAGCAGGCAATTGAATTTAGGAAGGCCTCCAGGGCAGAATGGAGAGGGCTGTGGGCACAATTGCGTCTCTTTGCAGCCAAAGCCCCTTGTGGAAAAGCCAGAATCCTGATTTTGGAGAAAGGAAAGGGTGCCACCACCACTCCCTGCCCTGGATGGTTGGGGAGGACTAAAGTGCCCTAGATCTCCAGACTTCGGGAGGAAAGGGGAAGGAGTGTGGCCCTACAAACTCAGAAACACCTCCGAGTTCAGGCTGGATTGGCTCCTCCAGCTTGGTGGAATGGACTGGACACTTCCTTCCCACGAATGGGACAGGGAGGCAAACTGCACTTCATAGCCAAGACTGGTAAAATTCCCCTCCTTCTCTCACCTCCTCACACACGCCTAGGCCAAAGCCTTGCGTCCTGTAACTGGTCCCCCAGAGGTGAGCTCTGATGAGGAGCTGCTCCGCTGCTTTGGGGCTGGGCTGCAGTAAAAGGAGGGAGAAATGTCCAGGGGCAGGAGAATGGAGTGAGCAAGGGGGAGGGGTGTCCTACATTCCGAATATAAATATGACTTTCCTGTCAAGGTGGGTAAAGGTGTCAACATGTCTTTCTTCCTTAAATTATAGTAACGGGCCACTGCAAGAAGTGAAAGCTCCTCCATCCATCAGTCAGGGGGCAGGCAAGGAAGGAGTTCCCTCAGATCCTGGGCCCCTCATAGCTGCTCTTGACCAAGTAGAGAGGAGTAGAAGTTCCCCTCTTCTTCTCCACCCTCCCCCCAATCCAAGTCCACGAGGGGCCCAAACACTGTGCCCTTTCTGAGGTCGTCGCTGGCCTGCCTCCATGGAGTCTGAAAGGCCCTGGGCTTTGCTAGGCTTACTTTGTGGAGGCTGGGGTTCCAGGATGCCAAAAGGGGTTGTTCCACATGTGCCTTAACCTCATTGAACCCGAGGGCCCCCTAAACTCCTTTTTACCATCCCTGCTTCTTTTCCCTCTCCTGTGAATTAGCGCCCCCAACTCCTAGCAAGATGCATAACAGCCTAAGCGCTTGGAAATTCCTTCCCTAAGTCCAATGATTTATTTTCAGTGGAGGACCAGGCCCTAGATCTAGAGTGGGCACCTCACAAGGAGCCCCTGAGCCTCAGCCAAACTGACTTTAGTTGATATTTAGACTAATTGCATTTTCTCTGCTATCTAATAGTTGTCATGCATGTTCTGTTTTGTTTTGATTTTGTCAAAAACAATAGCTTGTATATATATCAGACACATAGAAATGTTTTGAGTGGAAATAAATATCCAGGTCCCAGCCAAGCTGTCAAGGGACTGATGTTGATTTATCAAAACGTTTCGGATTTCCCTCCTAATGTTTTTCAGGCCACGAAATCCAGTTTTTCTTTCCTGGTTGCCGTTTCACTGTAGGTATTCACTTGATTGTTCATTAGATGAGAAGATGTCTTCCAAGCCAGTCAGGAAAGGATATATGAACAAAATGTGTGTGAAATAGCCAAAGAGGGGGATTCGTGGACAGATCTGAGTGTGTCCCACACACGAAGCAAACCCTCAGCTTACTGCAGGCAGGGGCTTCTGCATTTTGCCCAAATTCTCAAACTTAAAGCTTGCTATTGTTTGGGGGATGGAGGCTGCCAAGATATGAGGTTCCTCACATTTCAATACAAACATCTCTCCCTGCCATGTTTTGGTCAGCCTTCCCTGGAAAAGGCTATGTCCTGTGGCACCTCTGCCTACAGCCCAGCAAACTCCCTTGGGAAATGTGGCCTCTGCACCCTAGGCCTTCCGAGCCTGTAGCTCCGTCAGGGAAAGCAAGGAAAGGCCTGCTGTATTCACCGTCCTCTTAGAGACCCCAGCTCCAGCTAGCTTGGAGATGGAAAGTAAAGAATTTCTAGTTTTTAGCAAGTGGGACAATGGACAAAACTGCCAAATCTCTAATAGTGAGTACTTAATGGTTCCAATTCCCCTTCCCACAATCGAATTTGGTGTGTACTTTAAAAATATTTTTAAAGCAGCTCCTTTAAAAAATACAACGGAGGAAAAAGGAACCAAGAGGCTGGGGAGACCCTCTCTTTAGAAATGTTTCCCCATTTTGTGGGGCTCAGGGAGGCATTGGTACCTGGAGCTGGTTCTCAAAAACATCCGAACAAAAGAGGGGACCATTCTCAGACCTCAGGCTCGGGGGCTGGGTAAAGGAACAGGAAGCCAGACGTAAACTCAAGACCTGAGACCGCATGCAGGAGGCCATTTCTTTCTAATGTATATCATCAAAGCATCCTGTTCTTTCTCTGTAGCCTGGCACGTAGGGTGGGAGGAGATATTCATGGAGACCACTCCCCAAACAGATTGAAATTATTCTAAGGGTAAAATCTTATCTGTGGCGTATGGCTTGGGCAATGCTTTTCAAATCTACTCCTTCTACTGATCCGAATAAATACAAAGGCGGTGGGGTGGCGGTGCCCTCTCTCCGGTAGCAGCGGTGGCTGAAATCCCGGCGGGGATTTGGAACCACGAGGAAATTCATAAGAAACAAATGCCCCAGAGAAAGGATGCTGACGTCTGAGTGCTCAACATTCCCTCGCACAAAGACAAATGCGTACTCGGAAATGCTGCAGTCCAGGCAGGCCTCTTTACCAAGAAAACGGTTTTTAAATGAGAAAAAAAACAAACAAAACAAAAACTGCTTCGTCTGGCGTTCAATGGCTGCGAACTCGGGGAGCCTACCGGGACGCTTTTAAGGCCTGGGGCTCTCCCCAAGGGAGGCGGGCTGGGGAGGCTTCCGGGAGGCAGGGGGTTGGGATGGAGGAGAAATCCAGAACTGTTGTAAATATTCATGTGTGTGCCTGGAAAGGGGTGCCCTTCCACCCCGCCTCTCCCAGCTGCACCCACCCACCTTAGTGGCGGTGGGGGTGGGGGTGGGGGTGCTCGGCGCCTGTCCGATCATCCTCGGACAAAGGTGGTCTCCCCACATTTTTGTTTTGTTTTGTTGTTGTTGCTCTCCAGTCACTCGGCTTAGGAAGCCCATTCCGAAGGCTCTGCAGGAAGGGACTGGCTCTGGGTGTTTTCCCCTCGTTTCTCCTCTTCTTTCGTTTCCTAAAAGAGCATAAATAATTAAAGTTTGGCAGGGAGGAAAAGCTTTCTTGCAGAACTGTAGTGGCAATAAATGAAATGACTCAGAATCCCTTCCCCAGTCAGCTTTTACGAGAGCTGCCAGACAGTGTCTGTTCACGTTCTCCAGATACCAGGGGCGCCCTGACAAAGTTAAGGTCAAGTTAGTGTCTTATCTTGGGTGGCTCAAAATCACCGCAGAGCGTCCAGGCGCTGCTCGGAAAGCGACCACTCGCGGAGCTGCGGGCTGTGCGGGAGGGTGCGGTGCGCGCCCTCCCTGCGCTTCGAGTGGGGTCGCCAGGCAGGGACGAGGCCACAGCACCGGGGGCTGCACGGTAGGTTCTCGAGCGGGACGCGCGGGTTGGGAGGTTGCGGTTTTCTTTGGGTTTGGGGTAAAGATTGAGAGGGGAGCTGGGGCCCAAAGACTAAGCGGGCTGGTGCCAGAACGAAAGCCCTGGCTTGGGTGTGGGGGCGGGGGTCCGTGCAAACGCGCAGAGGGGGCCCGCCGCCCCCTTTTCTCTTTACACCCGTGAGCCGCTGCAGATGGCGAACCTCCCCCGCCAAAGCACGGCTCCAGCCCGAGCCGCCATCGCCATGTCGTTGAACTTGAATGGTTCGTCCTCCCCATTTCCCTCTCAGGCAGCCAGCAGACTCTATCTGGGGGGTAGAGGGATGCCTGCGCCCCACCCCATGCAGAGAGAAGGCGCGAGAATTTTGTGTGCCCCCAGACACATACAGACCCGGCTGGGGGCCCCGCCGCCGTTGCCCAGGGTCCTGAGCTGCCGCAGGGCTAGTGTGCAGTGTCCCGGGAGCCATTTTAGGAGAAAGATCCAGGGGCGTCGACTACGAGCCCAAAAGGAGGCTTAGGCCGGGATGCAGATGGGGAGGCAGATAACTGCTGGCGCTCTGGGCTGAGGGGAAGGGGGTCGAGCTGGAATCTGGGTAAAGGTGCCTGCTTTGAGGAGGTGCACAAAAGGATGGGCAGTTCTGGGGGGCGGGGGAGGTTCCCTGCCTTCCAGTCGCCACCGACCGGTTTGCGCTGTATTCAGAGGGAAGCAGAGGTAGGAAGGGGGGGGGGCGGAGAAGGGTGAGTGGGAGGGAAAAGGGAAGGGAGGAGAAAAAGAGGGAGAGGGGGGACATTGGGCAGAAAATAGATATGAGCTCTGCCCGCCCGCCTTTTCTCTGTGTGGCGGTGGGCAGAGCTCACTTCAGGGGCACTGCAGTGGCCGGAGCCAGGGAGGGAACCCGCTCCACAGCCTGCGCCTTCCCGGGTGGAGGGCTAAGTCCAGGGCTCAGTGTTTCTGATTGCCTGGGCAGAGGCATCCTGGGGAACAGAGCAACTTCCTACCCTGGGTTCTGGGATTGGGGTTTGCAGGAGCTTCTTTCTGAGAGTCTGATTTTACCTTTGGAAAGCGCTGGCCCCTCCGAGGCGGGAGCCCAGGCCTTGCCTGGGTCCCTAGGCTAGAAATAGGGACGAAGTGGCCACCAGGAGAGTGAGGCCTTGGGGCGAGCAGATGGGGCGGTCCTCAGGGCCGAG